ACCGCCAGCCTTCTGGTTAGCAGTCAAGTGCCTTAGCCACTATGCTACCAGAGTTAATACGCTCAGCTGCTAACCCAAAGGTTGGCGATTTGAACCCACCAGCTGCTCCGCAGGAGAAAGATGAGGCAGTCTGCTTCCATAAATATTTACAGCCTTGGAAACCCTGCGGGGGAGTTCTACTCTGTCATATAGGATCGCTATGAGTTAGAATCTCATGGGTTTGGTTTTGGTCTTTTATCCATCCAAAATTATTTTTAACCCACAAGCCCTAATATTAAGGAATTTGGTGATGAACTCTCTATTCCCATTACGGCAATCTTCAGGATTTTATAGATGATTGTTTCTTCTTTTAGTTTTTGCCTTTCTACAGTTACTTTTAGACTGCACTGTCAAAAGAAGCTGGACAATAAACAATTTTGGCTACTATTACATCATTTAATACTGAGCCTGAGTATTTCAGGTATATATTTCCACATCACAACTCATAGAACTACCAACTGAACCAGGATATCAAGACATAAAAATATGTAGTTTAAAGATCTTGCCAAAGCAATTAGTTTTAACATTTATCTGCAATCAGCCATTACCATCTGATAGTTTAGAGCCTGTATAACAGTTAAAAAGTCCTTACTAAAGTTGCCCAAGGGAACCTAGATGAACTTTTGATACACTCTATGTTGTTGTTGTTACGTGCCATCAAGTCAAACTGACTCATAGGGACCTCACCTTGGGTTTCCGAGCACTACGGAAGTAGATTGCCCCATCTTTCTTCCGAGGAGTGGCTGGTGGGTTTGAACTGCCAGCCCTCTGGTTAACAGTCAAGTGCCTTAGGCACTATGCTACCAGAGCTCCCATGCTCTATGTTGTTGTTGTTGTTGTTGTTGTTATGTGTCGTCGAGTCAAACCCGACTCATAGCGACCCCTCCTTGGGTTTCCGAGGCAGTATCACTACAGAAGTAGATTGCCCAACCTTCCTTCCAAGGAGTGGCTGGTGGGTTTGAACCGCCAGCCGTCTGGTTAGCAGGCAAATGTCTTAGCCACTATGCTACCACATGCTCTATGTAGGGAATGTTTATTCTCCTACTTCACAGATGTCAAGGCCATTACTGAAGGGGGCATTATAGAAGGATACATTTACTAGAACTGAAGAAAGCATTACAAATTTCCAGGGAGAAATGACTCACATTTGATTTATGTATTGCTTCATTATGACCTAATTTTTTAAAACAGGTAAGTTAAATCCTGTAGTTTAAGTGCTGGTACAGGTCCTATCCATGGTTAAAATCAGCATGCTCTAGAAAAAGTAACTCTAACCTAGTTACCAAGTTCCTTCTTTTTTCAAATCTTTTGAAATCACACCTTGGTCTAACCCCACAGACTACAGCACATGGGACAATCTGTGTTTGAATGCTAGCTCTGCCACACCCTGGGTATGCTACTTCAGTTAAGTAAAGCTTAATGTCCTTCTCTGTAAAGTAAGTATAATATTCCCTGCCAAATGAGGTGGGTGGCAGGATACTGCATGTAAAGTGCTTAGCATGTAGTGTTTGGCATGTAGCAAGCACTGGAATGTTAGTTATCATTACCAACCTCATCATATTTCAATGTTTGTCACTAATCATTTGACAGGAGACACATCTAAAATTTTCCTCTTTAATTATGTATTCACTAATGCTGCTCTATGCCATAATTTTTTTTCCCTTCCACAGCTATTTAACTTCCTTATCACAGCTCACAAAAGCTATACTATTCTACTAACCCAGATAAAAGGTGTTTTTACAAACAGGGCAACTTCAATCTTGATGATCACCCACTATGAAAAGTACAGCTAAAGTTCAACATCACCTTTACTGAAGTATCAATATATACTTGCACAATTTCCATAGATTATGAGCAATCACTTAGAATTAAATGATGTTTGAGCATAAAAAAATTTTAATTAAAGAAAATGATTCCTGTATTTCCAATATTTTGTTATTGTAATGTCTAGCCCTTTGGCTTGAAAAACCCAGAATCCACCTGACAGTACATATCTCTCTGCCCCTTAAGGATCTCATTATTTAAGAGTGTTTCTAAATCGGGGATCCTTGAAAATTTTTCCCTTTAAAAAGCAATATGACAGTGAAATAAGTCAGTCACAAAAGGACAAATACTATTTAAGTCCATTATTGTAAAACTTAAGGAAAGGTTTATCTATTGGAGGAAATTTTCTTTGTTGGTTA